CAGAAAGCTTTTATCCTGTGCCAGTAAATGGCGATGACAGGGAGTGAATCCTTTGGAAAGCAGGGTGGCTCCCTGCCTCTCAGCAAAGGTAGGTGGAGGGGACAGCATAGCCTCCTCAGTCTGAGTGCTGCCAGACAAAACTGGAAAGGCAGATAAGGTCTCTTGGGTAACAGAAGACTTGGAAAAATATGTCCCTGAAATGAAAATACCTATTTTTAAAAAAAGATGTGGTTATTAGATGAAGAATAATGATTATGAATCATTAATGACCTGAAAGAAGGTCACACTTGCAATGATAGAAGATATCTGGCTGGTACAACATTGTACTTTCTCCAAGAGGCAGTTTGGCTTGAGAGATGTGCATCCAATAGCTGTTCACAATACAGAAAATGAATGTGCTGTCTCTATGTGCCTCCAGAAACTAGCAGCACAAATTCCTAATGGCCTGGCTGGCACTTTACTTTTTTGATTAAATTGCCTTTCATTACGGTTGTCATGCAGGTGATGCTGCCCGTCACTCCTTTGAAAGCAGGTAAAGTGAAAAGCGATTGACTGTGGGAAGCATTTTTGCATTAAATATGCAAATATGTACGTATGTACACAAAATTTCTGTGTATGTACAATTGTACTTTCTTATTTCAAAATGAGCCATCCACCAGCCTTACAGGCTGATTTTTAAATTTATTTTATTTTTTTATATCAACCTCTTTTAGTATCTGAACCCTTTGCTATAGTGGGTCTGCTTTGTTTGGGACCTGTGGCCTGAGTGTGTTTTTAAAGCAGTGCAAGGCGTTCCTCTTACACATTCCCTAGCAGGGCTATTTCCTGGTATTCAAAGCAAGACTTTAAAGGTGGGATTGTGTTGTTTGTTAGAATATCACTCAGAGAGTGCTGGAATGTAATTTTTTTGAGTAGTTGTCCCTTAAGAAACATCATACAATAACCTTTTCTTTCCCGACACTGTGTGTAGCTGTTCCTTGCAAGTGTTGTGATGTAGTCAGTCACACTTGGATGACTTCTGTAGGTAATTTGCAGTCATATCCTTTTTCTTGAGCATGTGCAGGTAGGTTTGCTGGCACAATTCTTTTTATGAGATAATAGCAGCCAGTGTGAATGTACTTACATTTGTGTTCAAACACACACGTATTTATAGCAAACGTTGCTTGTAGAGAACCACAGAAGATTAAGGAGTCAACTGACCTCCTAAACAGCAGCATGCATGAAAAAATAAATTTGGAGGAAACTCAAAATACGTTCAATGACCATTAATAGTATGGAGGTTGGACTATGAGTTGTTTGTCCTCAAACAATAGGAATTAGTTCAGACAAACTGGACGCTGTGTGCCTTGTCTTATGGACAAAACTTTTTTTTTTTGACACTCTCATTGGAAAAGAAACCCACAAACAGTACCAGAACTTAGTTTTCCTTTTTTTTCCCATAGTGTCAAAAGATTAATACAAGTAAATTGAAACTATTACGTAGCAGTCATAGAAACCAAGAAACATAGAAGCGTTGCAACAAAAGAGGCTCTGTAAAGAAAGATGACAGTCTCAGTTGAAAGTCATGGCAGGCCTCTTTGCAAGATGATTTATGTCCTCATTATGTGTGATGATGAGTAGCTGGTACCTCTGTCACCACAGCTCCTAAAAAAGACTTGGCATGACGTGAAGTGGGTAATGCTTTCCAGTGCTGCCCTGGGTGGCAGGTATGCAGTGGTAGTGCTCAGGTTTTGTTTCCATGGTTGTTTGTAACTGCTGCATCGTGGGGCTGGTCACCTGAAATGAATCAGGGAAGATTATCAGAAGTGAACAAAAGAAACAACCAAGCCCTTCAGGCAGAACTCTATCAAGTTATGTCTTGAAGAGAAGTCATAAGGCTATATGTCCATTGTACTACATATACAAACTACATGGTGTATGTATAGTTTTTAAAATTAACTATGAAGGTGTAAAAATCACTATAAAACATGTTTAAAGCAGTTTTCAAGTAGAATAATATGCAAAAAACCACAGAAAGCTGTTACAAAACACATATTTTACAAAACAAATGTGAGTGATCAGGTTAAAAACTAATAAGAAGACCTGATCTGACGTATTAGGTACATTCAGGTTTAACTCAGATTTATGTGCAGGTTTGGATATCTAAGTCATGTACATTTAAAAACAAAACCAAACCCAAACTTCTACGTGCATGATACTTGGGCTTTTTGAAAACAGTATTCGAGACCTCCTTCCATTTTGTTTATCATTCTCATGGATGTATATGGAAAATAAGTGCTAGTTTTCAGATGCTTTTAAAGCTATGGCATTTGGATACCAACAAGGTCACCTGCCTTTCTGTGAGAGTTCCCTGAGCTTGCTGAAATCCAGAAATGCCCTTGAGATTCATCTCAGTGGATGTGCTTAAAGAAAAGGCAGGCCGTTTTGGCTAGTCTGGTCACAATTCAAAAATGGTTCTTGGGGAAAAAAAACAAAACAAAATAAAACCAAACCAAAACAAACCCCACGAAAAAAAACCCCAAAATGCAAGCAGTGTCTTCATTCAAGATCTGGGTATGTCCCTACTGGTATGTACAACCCAGTATCAGTATTATTTTGCAATGTGGTTTAACTTCACTTAGTGTATGGCACTTGCTTCTAAATTGGCCTTCGATAGTTGGCCTTAATCCAGGTTGTAAATATTTGAAGTTCCTTTATACAGTAACTGATGAAACTTTTGCTATAATGAGAATGTATCTTTATGTCGTCTTTTCCACTGAGATTTCTGGGGTTTTAAAATATGATATATAAAAATGGTCATACCTTTTGGTCCCCACCTGACCTCTTCAAAGAGTGGTTTCTTCCCACAGTGGGCACTCTACTTCAGGAGGACCATACTGTGCTTTAGCTGTTTGAGAGCGTAATTGTGAAGTTTGGGACTCTTAATTTATATATCTATTAGGATTTTTTGTTATGGTATGGTGCAGAAGGCAGTGGTACTAGGTAGGGAAGGAACAGTGTGTCTCAACTGTAGACAAATATTTGATATAATTTAGATAGTGTTATAGCTTTGGAAAAGTGTACACGTTCTAGAAAGACAGGAATGCATTTATGAAAAATGAGTAATCTTGCAGCTCCATACATACTGATTGAATTTTTTCACAAGTTAGGGAAAAGAATTGTAATACTGTCATCCGGTTACAGGTTTTGTTTTCCCCTCAGTAAATGTTTTTTTATCCTTGCACAGCTAAAAACTGTTCTGATGTCTTTTGTTATGAATTATGAACTTGGTCCATTTGGGATGAGAAAAGACTTAACTTTTTTCTACTAATAAGTGTGTATTTTTAGTTTTATTCCTATAGACCAGGAAAGGGGAAGCAGCCATCTGCAGCTTTTTTCCTTGTACAACATGTGTTGAATTAGTAGGCCACCACAGAAATTTGAAGAGATCTGTTTGGCCCATGGCAAGGAGTTGTCCCATATTGCCCTGCAAAAGAAATGCAGGAGTTTTTGACTGAATGTTAATTTTACTGCTTACCACTCACTTTTCATCTTAACAGCCAGAATTCTTTTAGTGACAGGAGAGTACTGTCTCATTGATTGACTGAACTTTCTCCATTGAGGGGAGTTGAACAGGACATGCTTTGTTAGCACTGATTTGGAAAATAATGGAGATCTTTACCTGTTTTTTGCACTGTCAGATATGCAGGCTTGTAGGTGTCTATTTCAGGAGTAATTTACAGAGGCTGTAGCAATGTTATGCAAATGCATTTTAAGTCATCTTAAACTCAGACTGCCATGGTCTCGTTCTTTCCACTTGCCCTCACTAGCTACCAATACTTGTGCAACCACCATGAGCCAGTTCAGGAGCCTAAGCTGACTGAAAATATGTCTGTATATGGAGTTTTCAGCTGTGTTGGCTCCCAGACCAGCTCACCAGAGAATTGCATGGATGCCAATATATATAAAAGGCTTATCTAATTCAGGAACTCAGGCGGGGAACTGACATGTCTGAAGATTTGTGGAACTCTCCCCGTTTTGGTGCAGTGCTATTTCATCTCTGTCCTGATATCTCTATTTTCTGGATAGAACAAGTATGTTCTTGTCGCTGCAGCCTGAGACAGTAAAAATCCTTAATGAATTAGGAAAAACACTCCTCAGAATTTGTTGCTTGCCTTGGTCTTTCTAGCAAGGGAGGGAATGAAATAAGAGGAAATGTAGCTTTACAAATTGTGTGGTTTACATGCAATATGTATTGGAAGACATCTGGGAATATGAAGGCTATTCAGGTAGACTAAGAAAAAGGTAAAGCTGAAAAGCAGCTGAAATCCATATTTTACTACAAAATCCTGCACAGAAGAAAGATACAATGGGACTTGTTTTTAGATTAAAACGTTTTATGCTAATAATTTGACAGGTTCAATAGCATTTCAATTAAGACTTTCAATTTGTTATTCCTAACTGACCATAAGATGTACCATGCATTTCCTTGTTTGATTGGTGTTTTGATACTTCAAGAAAATTGATGTACAAGTCAATATCCTGCATTCCTGTAAAGACACTGTGTTTTTTAGGGACATATTCAAAGTGATCAATGTTATGTAGCACAGATAAGTTTTCCTTCTATGGCAAGCTGTTCATAAACTTGTTGCTTAACAATTGCTTCACAGAATTTAAGACGACATTGTTATTAAATCTCACCTACTGGCTAACTCTGTTAAAAGCCAAAAGCAAACTCTTGCAGTGTTTGTTGTTTAGTCAGTATCGTGGACCAAAAGAAGCTACAGTATGACTTGAGACTTCTTTGTGCCTCAAAATTTATGTGAGCTTATTAATGAAGGACAATCACTAATAATAAATTTGTGCTTGCATGTACAGCACAACAGTTCATCTCCTCTGACAACATGACTATGAATAATTTATAGATGTAGTTATCCTGAAATTTGTAGGGGTCATTAGCATTTTAATGAAAAAGATACAACTGTTGTACTAAATCTTCACTTTTTTTTTTCCTCCCTCAGTTAAGAATTTCGATCTGTACTTGGAAAGCAGCTGACAGCGTGTGGTAATGTGCTGACTGGCACTATGGGCAGACGGTACCCAGGGGCTCACTATCGGCCAAGCAGCTCATGTATGTATGCAGTTGGTCTAATTTATTTGTTGCTTTATTACATTTAAAGGCTCCTAAGCCTGTAAGTTTTGAAATAGTATTTATAAAGAATGCTGACGTGTTCTAATCAATGCCAGCCTTCCTGTGTGTGTACCCAAATGATAAGTATATTGATCTATGTTTAAACTGCAGAGGTGTTTTCTAGAACTTTAGAAAGCAGCTTGCCCTGTGACTTGACCAAATCTACTGCAGTGTGCTGTGTTCTGTGCTGTGTTTTGTGTTCAGGTTCTCCAGCTTCATTTATTATAGGGTTCCAAAGTTAGCTGCTATTCTTCTTCACTTCCATCCCAGGTTTTCAGTACCAGATACCTTCAAATTAACAAGCTACTTGAGTTCATCCTAAAATGTCACTTTGCGCTATAGCTTCACTTGCTTACACACCGCAACTAACATCTCCAGTTCAGATTATTTATATGCTTGAGTTCAATATTACTCACGTTGTTTTTTCCTCTGAATTGTATCCTATTGTATTATATTATATCAACTCTTACTGAAGGTTGTCTTCTGTAAAAGTGCAAAGGCAGCTCCTAAAATTTATCACCTCACTCCTTCTATCAACCAGCATAGTGCAGTGGTTTCACAGTGCAGACTGTGGGAAATGAGCTGATGTGACATTGCTGGAGAGCTGTGTGGGGTAGTGCACCACCTCCAAAAGGCTGCTGCTGGTCCTCGTGCACTTTCAATTGATCCCTCAGACTGCTGAGGTGAAGTTGTAGTAGGCTAACTTCAGGATTCACTCTTCCTTCTGCTGTAGCAAAGAATATGATCCCACATGGCTTTTCTTGGTGTCAGAGCCGGCTTGGTAAGCTCTCACTTCTGTATTTTTCTTTCTGTTCCTTAAAAAACTTCTTTGAAACCCTTGATCACTCCAGGCATCCAGCTCCACACATACTTGTGTTTGCTGATGCAAGGAGGAAACTGCAGTGAGAATTTACAGCTGTGGCAGGACAGAGACTTCTATAGTGGCTTTGCCATTGGGCATGAGGAGCTGCATGGTGAGATCCTATATTCAGAACTTGACTTTGTGGGTTTTTTCTAACCACAAGGCTAAATCCTAGGAAGTACTAAGGCATGGTTATTCTCTGCTGCTGCACACTAGTCATAGATGTCATGCAGGTATGTTAAAATGGTGTATTAAAGCCAACTTAGATACTATGTTTCCAAGGAGTTTTTTGAGGGATATTCTCTGTACTAGAATGGAGGAAATAAATGGTTGTTACAGTTTTGACAGGTCTTTGATGGTCAAATACTAGAGTACTGAGTTGGACTGATCTGTTGGAATCACTTGACATTAAATCTAGACATTCCAACATTAAATCTGGCCTTCCAACATTTCCGCTCAGCATATGGCGGAATGATATTATCATTGTACATGTACAATGATATTCACATCCCATGCCTTGGCTTGAAGCTCAGAGCTTTAAAATTATCTAGTGTAGAAGTATCTAATCAAATCCATTCCTGCTTAGAGAGAACAAGTAACGAGCATTAGATTCTTACCAGAAGAGCCTAAAATGTTTTTCCTGTAGTCTAGTTGAACAGTTGCAGAAAGTGGAGAAGTGGAATCGTTTGCCTGGGGAAACCCTGGGGCTCCTATCATCTGCCAGGGCCAAAACTTGCATCAGAATGAACTGGCACCAGAATTCCTTCAGTTTGAGAATAGAGATATCAAAATACCTAATTCATGCTTGCTTTATGCTTCTATTAAGATAAGTTTTCCCTTTCCTTAAGCTGTCAGGGTTTTTAAGCCAGGAAACTTTCTTTGGTTTTTGCTTTTGTTACGGTATGATTTGTGCAGCTTCCTAACATAGCATAGGTGTTTTGGACATCCAACATTAATGGTATTGAAATTGGCCAGTATTTGGGAAATGTGGATCATAATCAAATCTCTGAAAGCAGATTAGATCTTGATGAAAGTGCTGGTAAAATACATGGTTTTACTTTTGTTTTCTTTGCGTAAATAGCGAGTAATTGCACCATCTCAGCTATTGTATTACACATTCACAGTTGTTGCAGTCTTAATGTAAATCAAGGACTTGGTGCAGCCTTAAGCTTTAGTCCCTAAATTTATCTTCTGTCTGTACATATGCATATTCCTAAATAAATGTGAAGGGGAGAATTAGGTCTGTGTGGAGTATAGCAGTTGTATTGTTTTCTTTGGTGGTAAGCTAATATTTCATCATTTGTTGAATGATTTCATAGATTTAATTAATATAATAGTGTGTAGTCTTAGGAAAATAGCAAGAGGTTTTTTAATCAAGGAAACACATAACAGTTTAAATAGAAAATGGTTTATTTGAAACCCAGTGCTAGGAAATGTATTTCCTATACACTTACGGAAGGTTATGAAATAGGGAGGTGTGGAAAGCTGTGAATTTAATAGGTGCCTGCTAGTTTAGACTTTTAAAAAATGTAATTAAAGAGCAATGGTCTCCCTTGATTACTGTCAACAAGCAAAGTAGTCTTGGGTGTATCCCTGACTCTGTATAACACTGCTTGTCCTGACTTAACACTCCCTTGTGTGCTTTTTTGTTGGTTTTTCTTTTGTTTTCTGTATTTTTCTTGTGAAAAAATAAAGATTAAGGATGTACAGTCTCCAGCTACTGAGAAGCTAGGTTTTGTAAACAGACTTCTTTCATTAATTTCTCCCGAGCTTCATTTTTATTTATGTTTTTCTAATATTTGCTCACAAACCCCACTTTTCTGAATTGACTGCAGCAGCTCTTGTGAAAATGTGGTTCTGTTTGTGTTGTTTAGGTAGCTTCAAATTTTCTTTCGTACTAAAAAATTTTTCTCTTTGCACAGAGTAAAAGGTTTTGTATGTCTGGAAAAAAACCTTTTTTTTCCAGGATTTGTCCATGCATATATTGTCCACAGCATGACAACAACAAAAATAATAATAACAAAGCAGAGAGTTTTGTGAGAGTGCTTTAAGAAAAAAAGCCCATTTTTCAGAGGACATTGGAAGTGAGACAGTGCAGGAGTATGTGGGTGGTAGTTTTCAGTGCTTGCTAACTTTGGGACTGTGCCAGGGTGGACGTGCAGTCCTGGCGTAGCACGTCAGCATCCTCTGGGAGGACAGGACCCACTTGAACATGGAACTTTAAGACCAGCCCTTGCTGCCCACAGACTAAGGGCAGACCTGACTGAAGTTTTATTTCATAAACTTCTCTTGGAGGGTGACTTTTTTGTCCCAAGCAAACTTTTTTTGGGAAATACTGTTCTTCTGAAGTGTTCATATATCAAGAATGACGATGAAAGGAAACATCCCTCGTGAAATGGCACTCCCTTGGACTGCAGATGGGAGAGGTTTGAGTCTTGGCTCTTCATGATCATCTCCCATGCTTAAGCTGCTTTTATAAATAATTCAGAATGCTTGAGGGCAGAGAGAGAAAGGTTGATTTTATAATTTTGGAGTTTGATTTCCCTCCAGGAACTCAAATTCCTGCTCTGCCTCTATCTCTTCAGCTTCCCAAGGAGTGCCCAACTGTGCCCTTCTTTGGACTGGGGCAGGCCCTTGCTGCTGGGCTTGCAAGGGGGCCGTTTCATGAAACTGCTGGAAAGTCTTTGCTTCATTGCAGTGAAGTAAGGAAACAAATGTGAGAATGATGACATTGTAAATAACAGCAAACCACTGAAAGAAACCCAAAATTCCAGTCTTGCAGCCAGTGCTGGTAATTATGTTGCTAACATTAGCCCAAGATGAGGTGATGTGAAAGTGTACTGTCGTGTGGCTCTGTGGGCTTGGAGCCTCTTCTAGAGTAACAGGGAACTCACCCAAAGAGGCACCCTAACCTCAGAGAGGAGTCTATCTTCCATGCAATTCATGGTAGAAGCATCCCAGTAAAATTCTATGTCTGCAGTATCCTGCCCTGTATCTCCTGACCTTTGCTTTCCAGAGAAAGACATCTTGGTATAAACGAGACTCAAACTTTAGCACTGCTCAGACCATACTCTGCAGGGACAGTTTTCTGTAAAGTTGCTTTTAAAGCTCCACATAATGGCTGTGGGAAAGGCAGGAATACAGATGACTGATGGAGTGAAAATTGCCAAAGTACCCAGTGACACACACGTTGCTCTCCCCATTAAAGCCTCTCTTGTGTGGTTTTCTGCCTTTCCTCGGAAGCTGTGTGGAGACTGGCACAAGAACTTCATCAACCTCTTGGGTGATCCTGGTGAAGCCCCAAAGCACGTGCTGGTGTCCGCAGATAGGAGCTGACTCAGAGCCTGCAGATAAAAAGCTTTCTTTAAAGACTATGTAGTACTCCGAATGCATATTGTTGCTTCTGTGTTTATTTCTTAGCACAGTTAAATAGTACCCCTATCCCAGAGCTCTAACAGGTCCATTTCTTCTTCTTCAGGGTGGAATCAGAGGTGGAAGCTGAAGGTGTTACAATCCAATTATTGAAATTATTAGAGAGATGCCTCTGCCTGAATTAAGGTGCAAATAAGACCATATGCCGAAGTCAACAGTATGGATTTTACTTAATAGTTAATGACACGTTCAAGGAAGGAGAGAGAGATAGGGGAAAGAGGAGGGAGGGAGACAGAGAGTGACAGAGAAACAGATTAAGTAGAAAAAAGATATCACTACTCTGTAGATTCCAACGACATCCCATTGGTCCTCTTTTTTTGAACTTCTCTGTGGTTGCAGACTGTATCTATCAAGTGGTGGAGGGAAAGAGTCCACAAAACTCTCGTTTCATGGGGTTTATATTGTGCAGAGGCTGGGTGGAAATGCCCCCTGTACCTCTCCTGGATGATGTAATACTGGATCATGGAACATGTCATGAGTGAGACATTCTAAGATGCTGCAGCTGTCAGTGTAGTTGAATCGATCCTGGCCCGTTATGGTCATCACATAAGGGAGAATGTTGGCATAAGAAGGACTATTCTGTCTCATAGAATTTACCTCTTATCAGCCTCTTCCCTTACCTGGAAGTCCAGTTTGTAGCTTCAGG